TATAAGTTAGCCATCAGTTAACACTTCCCTGGGGCAAAGAAGGTGCAGCTGCTTGTTGGGGATCTCTGTAGTTGTTGTAAATGTCAAAACAAGTTTAACAGATAGTTAATGTGCTTGTTAACGTGCTGTTTATCTTTGAGTCCGATAGTTAGCTAAAATGTTAATGCTAGCTTACAGCTAGTTAAGGTGCTTGTCAAATTTAAAACGATTTAGTCAGCTTGTTTATACAAATTTACCTGCAACTTAAAGTTAATGTTAACATGATTTGATCGTTTTGTCAATACAAATTTAACAGCTAGTTAAGGTGCTTGTTAACTAACCGCAAGTCAGGAAGCTAACCGAACTCAAGTTGACCTTAATTGCACTTCAAGCCGAAGTGTCAGCCTTGATGCACGCGTTATCTTTTATTTAACCATAAGTTAACCTTCAGTTAACACTTGACTGGGGCAAACAGGAAAACAAGCTGCAACTGCTTATTAGGGCATCTCTCTAGTCGCAGAGCATGTTCAAGCATCTATTGTGTTATTTGTTTGTTAGAACGTAAAGTTTTTGCGCTCTTCTTTATCCATTTACAACAATTTACACACACACCGAGGGAGAATTTGTATCTTGTTGTAGAATTTGTATCTTGTATCTGTCGCGGCATGTTTTGGCCAACTATTTATAGATGTTTGCTTCAGACGTGGCTATTACAAAATGCATACATCAGTTCTTGCTGCCTGTTGTTGGACGTTGGCCAGCTGTTGGCCCGCTCTACCCCCCTCCATGCTGCTGTATTTTTGGCCAGTTTTGGTAGGCAAAAGAAAAAATCGAATAAAAAATGAGATCAACTGGCTGACTAATTGCTGATGAGCCACTCCCCCCCCCCACAACCCGAGCCAACTAGCTAATGCAATGCACGCAAGGCGGAAGCGCCGGCTGCTGCCAATTGACAAAGCCAACACTTTGCGCTATCGCCAGTGGGTGAAGTGGTGCAGGGCGGCTGAGAGGGGAGGTGTTGGTGGTGTTAGGCGGGAGGTCAGTAGGTGTTATTAGCTGAAAAGTAATGCACGCGCCTAAAGTGTGCCAGTTGCGACAACTAAGACAACATAAACTGTATATATATATATATATTTATAAATTCCTAATCAGGCAAGTCTGTTTGCATTGCACCTAAATTGAGAATATATGGATTTTTGGCTTTGGTTATTTGAGCATAACTCGAGGATTATCAGAGCTAGAGAAACCATTGTTTGTCTGTAATTGCTTTCATAAGAAACTCAGCTCAGAAATAGTTCATTCTTGATATAACTACGCCATGTTTAGCACAAAGTTGTAAAAGTCGCATTTTAGCTACTAGTTCCAGGTGCTTTGGTATGTGCACACATTTAAGGGTTAAGCTTAAGGCCTGCAAATATTATGAAGATCCAACCACAAAAAGCCAAGTTATTCGGGAAGACATATACCTTGAGGCGTGTGGACAGGCATAAAAGTAAGTTCTAAAGGCAGCTTAGCGCTGATTACAGGGTATCTGCGAATATTGTTCCCCTGCTGAACTTGACAGCAGCAACTGTTGCTGGCGTTTGGATCGCTGCAGTTGCTACTCCTGCTGCTGCTGCTGCTGTTGTCTGGTTGTTTCCAGTCGAAATTGCAAGAGATCGCACATGCCAAACAGATACACGCACACACACACACATATATAGATAGCCTGTATATGTGGCAGCCGGCAACAGATGCGTTGCGCACTGTGGCAACATCTTGTGTCCATATGTTGTGCAAACAAACAATTGAAAATGACGCGTAAGCCACGAGTAGCCAGAACATGCGAAAGAAAGCAGCCAAATGAAATGTATCTCAAGAATTGATTTGCCAAGCGAAACAAAAAAGCACACAAATATGCACATGTATGTTTATATATACACATATATATATAAAAAAGAAGAAACGAACGAGCTGTGGCAAGCTTTGTGGCAACTGTTTGCTGTCGTTGCAAATATTTTGACAGGCAGACAGACAGACAGACACGAAACCCGATGACATGCAGGCCACATATGTCAGTTCCATATAGACACATATATATATTTAAATATGCATATTTGTATCTACATCACACGCTCTGTTGCGATGCATAGATACATTTGTATCTTATGACTGTGATTAGCATATTACAGCTAAATGCTGCTGGCGCCACCTGCAACTTTTACTTAAAGACCGTTAATTAGGTTGGCGGAGGGGGGTAGGGGGCGATATATGCAAAAACTATTCATCTTATTTTTGGCCAGGCGCACAAAGGCGACACCTTGCGGCCATTCAGACACCTCGATCAGTTGTTAACAGGCCCAAAAAGTGCCCCCCTTTTCGGGCGCAACTATTAAAGCGACACCTGTTGGCGCCCAAGGGCACAATTTAATATATGTTCTATGTGCAAAGATTTAACCTCATTATTCATTCAAATTGGGCTATTAATATTATGTTATGTTACTGTTATGTTATGTTCATGTAAACTGTTAGGCTGTTAACCTCTTAACAAATCTTTTTCACACTTTGTTGTTGACGCTGTTAAGCTTTACATTTCACCTCATTTCATGTTACCCTGTTAGTCTGTTAACGTACTACACAGCACATTCTAGACTCTGTTAGCTTCTATATGCAACTCCGTTGGGCTCAAGAGCTCTTCTATGCGGTAAGGCGTCTTTTCTGTAATCTATCGATTGTTAACATATGCCGTTAAGTTCTTTAGCTCTTAAACTGTTTAATATATTAGCTGTTGAGCTCATTTATGTTATGCTCAACACACTGTTAACCTACTGAGCTGTGCTTCTATTAATATTCTTAACATTTGTGCAGCTCTTAATTTGCTAAGCAGTTAACCTGTGCGTATGCGCATTCTGTAAACATATTACGCATACGCCGGATGCAACTGCATTTATATATACATATATAAATGTGTATCGTTGTTACTGACCCCATTCAATGGCCTGCTCTTAATATGTTATTTCTGTTTATTTCTTTTGCAGAATTAATTGTTATTGTAATTGTGGCTGCTGCTTGATAAGGCGCCAGTTACATCTACTAGCATACTTTTGCTGCTTCTTAGTTTTTTGTTTTTGTTTTATTGAAATGTTAATTTAAGAAATTATTTCATTGCAAGACGACAGCAACGTTGACTTCTTCGACTACATGTCATTAACACGCTGATAAGGGTTATCAGCCATCAGCTATCAGCTCATTATGATGGACACACACACACACACACACACACAGAGAGAGACACGCACACGCACACCTATATAGACGCATAGATAGAGAAATTAGATGATGGACAACAAGCGGGCGCCTTTTATAATTGGCAAAAAAAAAAAATTTAAATGCCTTATGAAATTGGCAACCAAATAAAATTTAAATAAATTCACTTTCATATATTTTTTTTTTGGGCTGGGGGCCTTGATAACCCCCAAACTTGACCTAATGTCGCTTGGCCTGACAGACAAAATAATTGTTTAATTAAATTGACAAAAAAAGAAAATTAAGAAAGAACAAAATATTTCAAGTATAATCAAATCCGGTCTCAGTTCATCTGGTCTACGGCTTCAGGGTCTCTCTCTCTCTCTCTCTCGCTCACGTACACTCTCATCTCTCTAGCTATCTCATTCTATCCATGCTGATAAGAGCAGTGCGTACACACAAGTGTTTCAGCTTCGTGTCTCGACTGCTGCCTCTTCTTCAAGCTTTTTAATGGATCTCACATTTTCATGAGTTTTTTTTCTTTCGGGTTTTTTATTAATTTGTTACAAACGAGCAAAGGTCAAACAGCCAAAGGTGGAAAACTGTTTCCCCTTTATACATACATAAATTAAGAAAAAATAAAAAAAAACGAACATATTTTTGTAGCTATTGCTTTTTGTTTAATATTTATGTATCTGCGTTGTAAAATAGTTCAAGTTCGTTGTTGTTGTTGTTGTTGTTGTTCGTTTCGTGTTGTGTCATCAACACGAAGAAAACTAGATCATGCGCGCGTGTGTCTGTGAGGATGCTGTACAGAAATGTGAGATAGATTCTTGATGCTTCTACCCAGACTGAAATATACATATGCACACACTTATATCTATAAACATATATATGCATACATATAGTTTCTAGAAATCATACTCATTAGATAGCCAGATGGTGTCACCATGGCACAAGGAATGCCAACAATATGACAGTATCAAGAAATCAAAGTGTTGTCCTATTAATTACATTCCTTTATCTTCTTTTTTTTTGCCCTCACAAATCGTTAGGGTGACACTTTTCAGTGCTTGAGACAAGCTCGCAAAAAAGGTAGTTATTTATCTAGCTCAGCTTTTCCAACTATCGAGATTAACTGTTAGTTAGAAATAGACAGATTTCTGAAGTTAAAGGCAACAACTTTGTCAGCTTTATTGTCTCCAGTTAAATTTAACATAAATTCTCTAGAGATCAGCAAATGTCTTTGAAATGGAAGGCAAATACTTCAAATGTGATAACGATCAAGAGATTTGAAAGTGTCTTTAAAATTAACAGAAAATACTTTAGAAGTGAATACTCAGTTCAAAAACTCTTTTAAAAAACGATACATTAAAGCTTATTCATGTGTAGTTCTCATAACAGTCTAAACGTTTTTTAATATAACTTTTATAATTACACACATTATCCTCAAGGAGAAGTAAATCTGCATTATTCTGCCGCTCTGTTAAGCAATTTTTCAAGTGGTAACATTAAGACGGCTAAAGATATCATGTTGTTTAGCTGTTAAGCTAAGAACTCTGTTAGATCAATGGATTTGCATAATAATGTTATCCTGTTAATATACAATAACAGTATGTCAAGTTCTGTTAATCTGTTTCTCTGTTACCACGTAATGTAATCAGTTAAATTTGTATGTTATCCTTTTCATGATCAATAACGCATCGCTGTTAACGTGACTGTTGTAATCCTTTCAACATTGTTAAACAGTTATTCTGTTAAGTCAGCCGTCCCACTACCCGCTACCCGTTACTCACCTTGGCATTCAGCATCGGCACATGGCAGGCGTTCAGAACGAGGACAACGGCGAAGAGGCGCCAGAGCAGCGACATCGCGTGTCGCTGCCGCAACGTCGCGGCGCCCGTTTGGGATCCCGTTGATCCCATCCTTGTGTGTGTGTGTGCGGGGGTTTTTTTTTCTCCTATTTTTTTTTCTTTGTTTGGCAGCTATTTGGTTATTTTGATTATTTAATTGGGCAGTTTTAGGGTTCGTATTCGAGTTGTTGCTTCTGATGCGTTTAGACGTGGTAAAGAAAGAAAAAGGTTACGATGTTTATGGCACTGCAAGTAAAAAAAAAAAACAAAAAACGGACGAGCAAAACGAATTTTCAGCAATTGTTGTCAACTGTTGCCAGCTCAGGAGCAGGCGAAATATAATGAACGCATAAGCTGCATCAGCAGAAAAACAAAAATACAAAAAAAAAAAACAATAATAAAATAACCGAATTTTATGTATGAAACCAAAAGCTGCAGGCGCACAAAAAAAAAATGAGAGAGACAAGTGAAAAGGAAAAAAAAAACAACAAAAAAAATCGAAATCAAAACGCGAATTCGTCAGAAAATGCTCGCTGCAAAGGCAGATAAAGAAGACGCAAACGGAACAGGAGAATGGGATAAACTTAAGCTGAGCAGCGGCCCGAAATGAAGCTCAGTGTTGGCAGCTTCAAGCAAATTAGCTACAAATATAGCTTTAAAAAAGCTGCGCACAATTTGGCATATAGGAAATTTTAGCTGCTTTTGCGCTGACGATCGCTGCACAAAGTCAAAATTAGCTAGAAAAAGGCTGAGCTGCCAATTCCGTCTGATCCTATAACAGTTTTTTTTTCGTTCGTTCTCTTTTTGCTTATTTTGCATGCCGTTTCCTAGTTTTTGGGATTTTCTTTGATCTGCGCGTCATTTTTTTTTTATTGCTGCTTGCGTTTTGCATTTCGCGCGCGACATTTATAATTATTTGCTGCATTTGTTTTTGCCGGCCACTTTTTGCTGCTTTTCTTTGCGTTTAATTCTTGTGTTTAATTCGTTTGGTTCGTTCTCGTTGCCCGTGCACTTTGTTGCTTATTAAATTCAGTTCGCGGCTTAAAAAAACCCAAAACAAAAAAACCGAAAACAAAAAAGAAAAATTAACTGTAAACGAAGCCAACAACAAACTCGCCGAGGGCACGAAATGTTTTGCGATCCTGCGCGCGCGTTTAACGTTATCCTGCGGAGCACCAAAACAGTTATAATTTGCAAAAAAAAAAAAATTCAACTTGTAGCACTTTAAAAAAAATATATATTTATATTAGTGTCAAAAATTGCACTTGAACAACACAAACGGCAACGGGCAAGAAGAAGATGAACAACAACAATTTAGTGAGACAGCCTGGCGGTCGCAGGCGAATCGCAGTCGCTGTGTCGCAAGGCTTAGACAAACGCACCGAAAATTTGTGCGACCGTCTCGTACAACGGCGCGCAACCGAATGTAAAAGTGGAAGAACTTAGACGCGAACGCCGCTGCACCGCAGAAGAAACAGCGACACAAGCGAGTCGCGAACGCCCGAAGATGTACGAAGCGCTAGCTAAGCACACACCCATACACGCAGACGCGCGCGCACACATACGCACACACACACAGGCACACAGCCACATACGCGTGAATTCAAGTGCTGCAGTAAACAGACAAAACTCGAACGTGCGCTGTACCGTGACGCAATATGCGAGAAATGCCGGCGAAATATTTGTATGTGAACTTCTTTGGTAAGTTACCGGAAATTGTAAAATTTTAAATAGACTTTGATCTCTTAGCTTTAAGGACTCGCCCGTTTCGGCCAGCTCGAAAATATTTTTTTAATACTTATCATTCGAATAGGTGTAATGTGTATAAAACATTGACTTTTTATTAATTGTTTTGGCAGGGATCGACATATCGACTATTATCGTTTTTTTCTTCGCCATGTGCATTGCAATTATTTTGGTCACCAACTATGAGTTCCTTGCACCACATTGCGCACTGTGCCCTGTTGCGCGCTGTCGACTCTCGTTTTGTGCCGTGGGTGGCTTTCATTGTGGCTCTGCTGGCGTCGCAGCTGGCGTCGTGTAGCTGCTGCAAATGTTTATCGCGCAGCGCGCTTGTGCAACTGGCTCTCTACACATTTATCGGTAACAGGATGCAAAGTTGATGCTCTGCACTAAATTCGCCTTGTGGCGAAATGAGCAAAAATTGTGTGTGTGCCTGTTATTATGTGAAAGAAAGAGAGAGAGAGGTGGTGCGGGGGTCCCTGCTGCCGTTGCCTGCAGGGCTTGGGCCCAACTGCGTATTCTTTATCGCTGTCAGCCGCAATGCGCGTGAGGTGGAGTGTGGGGCGGAGGGTTGGTGCATTTAACTGGAGCAACAGCAACAAATGCAACGCCGCTGCCGACGTCGACGCTAGCGTTGTGCCGCCGTTGCTGCCGCTGCTGCTGCAGCGCTCTGTAGGTCAACTGATAAATTGGCGTGAAGAGACCAACACCAACCGAAAAGGCAACCCAAATGCAGCACCCACTGATAGTGCGCACACATATGCATGTATGTTGTGTACGTATGCATGTATGTGTGCGTGCGTGTTGAGTGTAGATTTGTTATTTGTGTTACGGTCGCTAGATGGCGCTGTTGTCCCTGCTTGCATTAGCTATTAGTGCAACACTTTTTGTTGTTTTCTTTTCTTTCTTTGTCTTTTTGTCGCTTTTCCAACACTTTTGTGGGCAGCTTTCGAGCTGTTTGCACTTCACACGCAGGAAATAAATTTCAGTAGATCAGCGGGCGTACCGACTAGAGCATACCCTTTTTTGAAAATAAATTATATATGATCGGAAGATCATCATGAGTTGAATTTAATAAGAAAGTCGCCAAAAATAGTTGCGATAAACTTGTTCATTTCATAATCTCCATTGACAATTCATATATTCAAAATCCTATTCTAATCTCATACCCTTCGCTCTTCACAAATGCGGGGTATTAAACGCAGCTGGCTCAAATTGAAGAATGTGCCAGTTTCTTGGAGGTTTTTTAGAAGCATGTTTTACTTTCTAACCAGGCACCAGGAAGATATGAGGGACGTGTATAAAAGATTGCTATAGCTATAGATCAAAAAGGGTCAGAAATATATACTTATCTTTGACCCATAGCAAAATTGTTTATGTAACGAGCCCTAAAAGTATTTTAATAGATGTAAATGTGATATATATTTTTTTTAATATTCTAAGTATGTCTTTATTTTTAGCCGAATACCTTGAAGTTAGTTCGGTTCGCCGTTCGTATCAGTGTTAGTTTGAGAATCTGTTATCTTCACACTTATAAGTCTACGTTTTGGTTCGAAAGTTTTGCAAATTCAATTTTTTTGTAAAATCAAATTTTTTATAAATATTTATACAATATATATATATATATTATAAATTTTAGAAAATAAAATTTATACTATATATTATATATTATATATTATATATTATATATTATATATTATATATTATATATTATATATTATATATTATATATTATATATTATATATTATATATTATATATTATATATTATATATTATATATTATATATTATATATTATATATTATATATTATATATTATATATTATATATTATATATTATACATTATATATTTTATATTAGTATTTATTAGTATCTATATTTTTGTAAGCCCTACAACAAGAAGTGGATAAACAGGGTATAACATATATATATATATATATATATATATCTCGGGTAATATCAATTTTGAGTCCTGGTTTTCCAAACCAAACTCACAAAGTTATTTAATCGATTAGATAAACATGGAAACAATAAATTAAAGCCCTGCGATTTGGTATAAACACGCTTTTGTATGCCAAATTAAAGGCCTGATTTGATAAAGATCGGACAATAAGCACCGAAGTTAATCAAAACGTAACTTGGCTTGGCTTCAGTTGCGGTTGGGAGCGGGAAAGTAAATCGAACCGAATCGAACCGAATAAGCCCAAGGAGCTTTGGCCAGGATCGCGCGGTTCTGAGCACATGTGGAGCTGGCTGGCGCCTTGGCGAATTGGCGAACAGCAGCCACTGGCTGGCAGCAGGTCGCATGGGCCACCCAATTGCCACCCATGGCAGGCGGACTTCCCATTGGCGCCTGGCGGCCAAGCGCCGGGCGGAGCGCATGCGTCAAACTGGTGGCCCAGAAGGCAGCACCCCGGCCCACCCTTCCGACAACGGCTGGCAACGACCAATCGGCGCATTGCGTTTTTTTTTTCTTTTGGTTTTTTTTTTTTTTGTGTGTGTGTGTGTGTGTGTTTTTTTTTCGCCTAGAAGCCCGAACCAAAAGATTTGGATTGTGGCTTCCGTTGTTGATAGCCGCGACGACTAAAAATAATTTCAGATGAGCATTTTAATTACTGGACGAAAAAGATAATGCGAATGCTGCCACAGCTGCTACTGCTGCTGCTGCTGCTGCGACTGTTGCTGCTGCTGCTGCTGCTGCTGACGCCTATCAATAGCGACCTGTCATATCAGCGGGGCGCCACACTATTTGGGTCAGTCTGACCAAGAACACGCTCAAGATCTGGACGGATGCCCGCCTTTCGACTGGAAGTCAAGAGGTGGCCGACGCTTATCGCCCGACCATGCACACACACACACACACACACACACACACACACACACACATACATCTCTCTCTCACACACACGCACACACTCACACGCACTCATGAATGGTCTTCTATATAATATGAATGAAGTTGAAAATCGCAATCCCCGACATAAAGCAACAGAAGAAACGACTACCATCGGCATGCCGCAGCCTGAATACCCTAGAAAAACTGCTGGGCGCAAGCTATATTTGCAACCGATTGTTCCTATAGGAACACCATATGTTATAGTAGATCGGATTTGCGTATATATTAACAGAAAAGAGGAGCTTGCGAGTGAAGTTTGTTCAAGATATCAAGAGAGCTAGAAAAGCTATTCTTATCAAAAGAAAACTCATTTCTTCAGTATAAAGTATATATGTATGATATAGTAGATCGATTATGATCACATTTTAATTATTTGCTAGGCGCATTGTAGAGTTAATAATTCCTAATCTAAGTTTGATCAAGAAATAGCGAAGTTTTTTACATGCTAAAACATATTTTTCGACCGATTCTTCCTATAGAACTTTATGATATAAAAGTTCGATGTTAATTCGATTTTGCTGATATGCTAGGCTATTAAAATTCGTAATTGTTGAGTTTGATCAAGATATCTTGAGAAGCAGAAAAGATTTTCTTACAAAAAGATAA